TCTCTGTCATTTTATCAATGTCCACATCATTAAAAACATCCCAGTCTGTGCAAAGGAAACGTCCTTTAAGTCTTTCTATGGCATCATCCGACCATACCGTTACTTCCTTCACGTATGGTTTACTACGTTTAAGCATAGTCCTGTATGTAGGGATTAAATGGATGGTATAATGGTCAGAATTGGCTAGCGGTGGTTTCGATCTGGCCTCATAAGCTTTTTTTACATTTCCATAGCACTTATCTAGGATTCTGTCTTTACGTGTTCCACATTTTATGTATTGCTCAAACCCAGGCAAGAACAGTTCCAGCTTGCAATGATTAAAATCACCTAAAATAAATACAGGAACGTCTGGTGAGCCTTGTAGTTGTTGATGAACACAATCCGCGATATACTCTGCTGCTCTCGCCGCATTTCCACTAGGAGGTACATAAGCCGCACAAACAACAATGCTTCCGAATTCCCTCGGTAGATAAAAGGGTCTCATTTTCAAGCATAAGACTTCAACATCGGGGCAGCAGAATGTGTCCTTGATTGTGTACTGTTTACACCAGTTGTTACTCACATACACAGCTATACCACCGCCTCTGTATTTCCCCGATTGCACACTTCTAACCGCCCGCACAAGCGTGAATCCTTCCAACTCCATGGCCGCGTCGGGGATATCCTGATGAAGCCATGTTTCCGTAAACACCATCAAACTTGAAGTGCGGTACTCAAAACATGCTTTGGAGTTCACACGAAGTTCTCCCATCTTTCCATGCAGGGATCTAGCATTACACAGAATCATCGACGGTAAGGGTGGTCTACCCCCTCGTCGTCGAAGACGCTGCCGTATTCCGCCCCTCCGGCCTCTTTTCCTTTGCCTTCTATTTCGCTCAGGTTGCACCCTCATGCAGGCAGGTAGGTTCGGCGGAGATAATCCCAAATGGCGAAGCGCGAGCAAAGTATCTCGGGTATAGCTAATAGGCGTCCATGTTTACACACCTGCATATACCGTGCACTGCGCCAAGTATCCCCATATGACTGTTACTAGACAGGCAAGTTGGACGATCATCGCCATACGAGCGTCGGATTCGTCAAGATAAGATAAAATAACAATAAATAAAATAATAAAAACAGAAAAAGTACGAACAGACTGATGTAGTGGAGCACGAGCCCGGGTCGCAAGCAGAGCAGCGCCACCGGATCTGCTCTGAAGTATGAAGTTACAGTTCATTTTCATGAGTCAAGTCAAGTCACAGCTGATCTTCCTGAGTCAAGAAGACACAACTGCTCTTTCTGGGTCACATCGAATCACAGTTGATCTTCATGAATCGGGTCACACCACAACTGATCATCCAGAGTCACGTCACATCACGTTCGTTCATTCAGAGTCCGGTCATTTCCTGTCTGTGGCATCCAGACCCTTAGAGACTGTTCCGCAGTATCCCAGACTGGTGTCACGTATCCGGTCCATGAACTTCTGTCTGCTAGCCATCAGAGGTCACCCTTTCCATTTCATTGACTCTCGCACTACACACTGTTGCATATCACCCCGGACTACATATCCCATCATCCACTGCACTGATGACACACACACAGTTGATTGCACACAGCACTGATTGCGCACAGCTGTAATCAATCACCCATCCCCTATTTAACACTCACTCTGATCCCTTCCCAGGGCCGAGTATTGTTTAGCGTATATCACTCCCCTAGCGATAGCTACTATACGGAGCCTGTTTAGTTTGTCATAGCCTCACCTTAGTCTTGCCTTGTCTGTGTTCTCGTATCTTGATCTTCGCCTGTGTCTCTCGGATTCCTCCTCTCGTCTTGCCCTATTTTGATACTGGTTGCCCCTGCCTGGACCTTGCCTTGTACCTGGACTTATCCCTCGAGTCTCGCCCCTTTGATTCTGTTTGCCGATCGTTGACCTCCGCTAGCCTTAGGTTTCTTCTTGTGTCTTGCCCGCCATACACCTGTCTGCCATTATCTGACCCATGCCTCTTCTATGACCACGTCTCTGTCTTCTGCTAATAAATAGCTTGCACATGGATCCGCACGTCTCAAGTCTTGTCAGCCTCGTAACAGTATAGAACACCAATTTATTTTCCGAACCTTAGAGACGGTTGGATTTGGTCAATCGTTTAATGATACTATAGCATTTATAGGGGTATTAATAGTTCTGTGATTGTAAATTTTGACACTTCTAAGAGATTTTACATCTATCGTGGAGTTAGGCAGGGCTGTTCAATCTCCCCGTTTTTATTTCTTTTAGCCACAGAGTTACTTTGCCTGAACATTAACCACAATGAAAATTTGAAAGGAATCTCTATTTTTGACAAGGAGGTTAAAATTGTGCAGCTACACTCTAAAAAATGCTGGGTTAAACACAACCCAGTGCTGGGTTTCATGACATGGATAGCACATCTTTAGAAAATATTCCAGTTAAAAACTGTGTAAAATATTTGGGTGTTCATATTACTAAAAACCCAATAACCAGACATCCTTTAAATTTTTATGAGAAACTGATAAATACTAAAAACATCTTTAACATTTGGCTTCAGAGAGATCTTTCGTTGTTTGGTAGAGTCCTTTTGTGTAAGGTAGAGGTACTCTCTCGCTTTGTATACCCTGCCCTTTCCCTATATATTAATGACAAGACTATAAAGGAGGTTAATAGATTATTTTTGGATTTCATCTGGAAAAATAGGCCCCACAAATTAAAGAAAGAAATTCTTTCTAAATCTAGAGGTGAGGGTGGCCTTGATTTTTTAGATTTCGCAGACACCATAAACACCTTTAAAATAAACTGGCTAAAGAGATGCCTTGCAAATCCGACGTCATTATGGTTTTTCATTCCAAATAATATATTTAAGAAACTTGGTGGCCTGTCCTTCTTATTGAAATGCAATTTTTCACCCAGCAAGTTACCCATTGCCTTATCTAATTTTCATCAACAATGTCTTCTTTCTTGGAAATTGTGTTTTGTCCATAGTTTTTCTCCACACAAAATTTTCCTCTGGAACAATGCTGATATAACTGTCAGAAATAAGTCCTTTTTCTCTAAATGGTTAACAACAATCTTAATTAGATGATGTTGGCAATATTTTAACTTATGGGCAATTTCTTAATCGCCATGGCTTCCCTGTTCCACCAAAAGAATACAATACATTAATAAAAGCTATACCGACAGGTTTAATTAAATTAGTTAGAAATCGCTTAATGTATAGTAAGGGTAATGTTGTGTATCCTGTTTTGTTTTTGGGTGGCATTAACTTTTTAGATAAGAAGTCAAGAAAAAAGAAAGATTACTCCAAATTTATTAGGCGACAGATATATTTGTTTCAAGCATTGTTGTGAACATAATAGTCACCAGTAGCCTACGTATAGGCTAATCAAACTATTCAAACAACAATTAATGCCCCACAAATGAAATGTACAAAAAGCTAAACACATCAAAAAATAAGAAACTATATTACCCAAGGTTAGCATAGGTTATTCGCTTATTGTTTTGCTGTGTGCCTGTAATCAATCAAGCAAAACAGCTTACAGACGATTGATCATATTACACAAACTGCATTGTGTTGACACTGTTGCAATTAATGATTCAATGCTTAACATTGACACTACATTACCAGTTCAAAATAATCCATTAAACAAGTAGCGATCTGAGGAGCTTGCACTAATATTTTCAGTTCCGTTTGTTTGCGCGTTGTTTCAAGGACACGTCCACAACAGGGGAACTAACGACTATTCACTAGTGTTGGGTCGTTCTTGAACGATTCGTTCATTTTGAACGAATCTTTAATGTGACTCGGGAAGAACGAGTCGTCTCGGGGAGTGATTCGTTCAGTCGCGCATGCGCAACATCCTATAGGTTCTGTACTGGAATTAGTCAAGTAGTTCACCTGTTTCGAGTCT